ATTGTAAAGACCACATATTTAAATAAACAGAGTAACAAAATCGAGATTATGTACAAACAGAAAGAAGAAAAGAGGATGTAGTGACCCTAACAAATGAAGTTAGGGGCAAAAAGTCTGTAGAAACTATAAGGAGTTTGGTAGAGTAGGTGTTACATTTTTTAAAATGGGGAAACTGGGGCTAATTGCATAATTCCTGGATGGCAAAATAAAGTTAATGTTTTTTCCTGTTATACCATAGTTGCCTCTCAGTTGTTGGAATTATATTTCAATTTAGCTTCATTAAGATAATATTGATACTTTTTTTTTTTTTTTTTTAGAAATATTATGACTTAGATATTCTGGAAAATAGCTGAAAATGTTGGTTAAAATATTTTTTAAAAAAATTATTAGAGGAGAGCTTTAAGCTGGTGAGAAAGCAAATAAAATCTTCAGACCAAAAACAAAGTACTAATCTAGAGAGATGAGCAATAAACCCAGGGGCTATCCTTAAACATCTGTTGATTCTTAGTGGCCTAGAACTTTGGTTTTAATTAACCATGCTTAGAGGCAGGACACAAGGTAAACTAGGGGGGAAAAATAAAGCTTTCCAAGAGCAAAGGAAGCTTGACAGTTTTAGCCTTGGCTCTGGGTTGGTAGGGAGAGGTCTTTCCTAATAGTTCTATACATAAATCCTCTTTGTTGCCAAAGTAGGGCAGAATTCACACTACCTGTTGCCCCAAAAAAGCCCATTTTGAAAATTTTAAATACCAGATTGATAGTCTTACTATGCAGTCATCTAGTATAAGGCAAACAAATCTTCTGCTAGAGATCACATTTTTAAACGTAATCTTTAAAATTACCACAAATGAAGTTCCAAGGAAAATGGGCTTACACTATAAAATCATAAAACATGTAAGTAATCATGAGCATGATTTAGCAGAAATAAGTCACAAACCTTCAAAGATTACTGATATTGGACTTATCAAATATAGACTGTAAGAATGCTTAATATGCTTAAAGGAAGATACAGAAAGGATGGTCAAGAAACAAAACATTAGTCAGATTTGAGAAAAGAACCAAAAGGAACTTTAAGGAACAAAAATATATAGAAAAGAGAACTAAGAAACCTCCAGGACAAGTTGAATACATCTTAGAAACAGCTGAGGAGAGAATTGATAAACTGGAAGATCTTAAGAAATTGCTCAGAATGTAATTCCTTAGAAAAGCAAAGAAATTGAAAATGGGAAAGAGATTGGTACAGAGAGGTGGAACATGGGATGAGAAGGTGTAAAATATTTTATGGGAGTTCCAGAAAAAAGTAATAGAGCAGTTGGTGGAGAGGCAATATTTGAAGAAATAATGGCTGAGAATTTTACAGAATCGATGAAAGATGCATCAGATTTCAAAGAGCTCAGTGAATCCCAAGTAGAATAAATCACACTTAGACTTATGATTGCAATGCCTCAAAATACCATTGATAGAGATGCAGCAACTAGAGATAAAAGAGAGATTAGGAATGACAGCTAGACTAATGGCCGATTTCTGATCAGCAATACTACAAACCAGAAGGCAGTGGAGATATCTTTAATGTGCCGAAAGGGAATATGTGCCTAGCAAGAGTTCTGTATATAGCAAAGTTAGAGGTTTTTTTCAGAAAAACCACAATTGAGAGTTTACTAAAAAAAAAAAAAAATCTTAATGGTGTCTTTGGAGAAGGAAAATGACTTCAGAAGAAAAGTCTGAAATACAAGAAAGAATGAGGATCACAGAAAATAGTCAACATTTATGTAAATTTAAAAATAAACTTTTAAGTAATAAGCTTTTTTAAGTTACATGTTTTTTATGACTAAAACTCAAGGCCACATTTTAATAGAATACTTTATTAATGAAATACTTTACAAGGGAAAGAAATTCTTGATCTAGTTATTGTAGTAGATCAAGTTCCCTTCTAGCCCACTTGTCCACGTTTATGTACTTTTTGCAGTTGTAATAATCTGTGGGTTGTAATAATTTTATGATTAATACTGACCTGTATTTAATCTCTGTATCTTTAGTTGACTACATTATTTCTCATAGGATAACCTGTAAAAGGGAGATACTAGTACATATGAATTTTTTTAAATTGTTTTTTTTTTTTTTAATTTTTTTTAAGCGAGGCAACCCTTGGTTGACCTCAGAGATTGCAAGGACCTTGTCAGTTTACAATCTCTTATTTTTTTATTTTTTATGCCTACAGCACCTGGTCTTCCTAGGTGGTCTCCCATCCAAGTACTAACCAGCCCTGTCCCTGCTTCGCTTCCGGAATTGGACTTGTTCAGGGTGGCGTGGCCGTAGACCATACGGATATTTTTAAGAAGTAGATGAGATGATACATGTAAAGCATTCAGTGTAGCACCTAGCCCACAGAATTGCTTAACACATTTGCTTTTGTTACTGTGGTTATGTTTTGTTTTTTTTTTTCACTACATTGTGTGAAAGCATTTTCCATTTTGATTTTTTCCATATCTCGAACTTTAAGATGCACATTTGTTGCACGTTGTAACTTCTGAAAATTGGGATACATCTTAAAATATTTGGTATGTCATTGTTTAATCAATGGCAATTTTTTCTTTGTGACTTGTCAGTACCTCTTTAGATTTTACGAAATGTGATAATGTATCTTGGTAATTTTGAATGACTGTGTAGTACTTCACCAGTGAGAGTGTCATAATTTCTTTGTTACTCATCTGACTTTAGGTTAGCTCCAATTCTTGGCTTTTATAATAATGTTTGTATGTGGGAATGATTTGCACTATTTTATACAATCTCCAGTAAAGAATGAGTTTACAAATTTTACGCCAATATGGGAATTATTTTTAAGTGCTTTGCTAATTTAATAAGTGTAAATTTTTTTATTTTCATATTTGTGTACATATATGTGTATTTTTTCTAGAATTTTATTTTCCTGGTCTTTAATTTTAGTTTTTTGTTACAATTTTATATTCTTTAGTCCTCCATATGTCTTTCATGATTTGCATATATTTCTTCAAAGCTAATTTTCTATGACGTAATAGTTTATATTTAACTTTTAACTTCACCTTGCAGTTATTTTGATATAATGTATTAGTGTTTGTGTAGTATACTTTTGAGAGTGAGACGGCTGAATTACCTTCTGTTTAAAACCAACAGGCTTTATAAAAAAGGACGTAGAGTATTTATACTGTTTTAATTGCTTTTCAAGTATTAATACAGTTTAGTTCTTAAAATAAGGAATTCTTACCTCAGTTTACAGCTAAGAAAATTGACACTCAGATGAGTTAAGAAATTTTCCCATGATCACACAATCGTTAATGTTAGAGCTGGATTTTGAATTTAAGTGTGATTCTAGACTCTCAACCATTATATGTTTAGGTAATAATTATTAACTACCTTGAAATAATAATTGCTATTTTGCTTTACTAAAGCTACATACTACTCTGTATAACAGTTCTATAAGTTAGGGATATTTCTAGTGGGTGTATGGCCCCTTCATTCTGTCTTTTTCATACACAGATTTTATTCATTAAATGAATTTTTTACTTTTTCATTGTATTTATTAAGATTCATAAGATCAGTTTTTCTTTCTGACAGCTGTAGTCTTTATTATTTTCCATTTTCTTGGGTAGAAACGTAACTGGTCTTCTCAGAATTGAGGAAAGGGTGGGAAGGGTAGGTATGTAAATACATAGGTTTTCTTCTATTAAAATGCTTAATATCAGATTAAATGCTGTTTACATGGCAGGAAGGGTAGGTAGGCTATCACAAACTCTTCACAGTTCTTTTCTTCTATCAGTCAGAAATTAAGCTGTACCTAAATTCTCAAATCACAGTCAGCTCAGTTCCAAAGGCAAAGTGATAGGAGAGTACTGCTGTGGTGAAGGCAGAAAGGGGATTATTGTGTGTAGAGACTTTAAACACAATAATAAATTGAATAAAAGGCATATGCTTGTTATTCTATACCTGGCAATTCTAAACTGTGTCAGCAACAAAATACTGCCACTACCGCCACTATTTCAGGCCCAGCTCTTGCTCCCAAAATGTGAATGAATCAACATGGAAAAGGATGTTGTATCTGAGCTCTCTCCTTTTACTCAAATTGGGTTTTGATTGATAAGCAAAATTAAAAAATTTATGGCAAGCTGTAGAGTGTAATTAAACAATAAATGTTTCATAATAATAGTTGTATAATAGTTGCATAGTATGGAAACTCAAACTCAAGTAAAAAATTGGTTTATTAGATTAAAAGTTTACAGAGGAATTTCATGGGGCTTAATTGCAGGAAGTACAGTTAGGCCTCCCAGAAGCTGAGTCTTCTGGTAACTCTGGGGGCTCTGCAGTTCTCCCTACTTGGAGTCCTGCTTTGATTGTCCATATTTAGGTGTCGATGATACCTTAAAGGTAGATTTATTTATTTATTTTTAGCTACATGAGCCAGTGTCAGTTGTAAGAATTCCTTCCATATAGAACATATAACTTCCTGATAAGCGGCTTAGTGTGTACTAGTTATTTTTCATGAAAACTGAATCCCCAGTATTTGCAGGTTATAAGCTTGAGTAATTCCTTGTCCTTTGAATCTACCTTCTGGTACCTGCTGCCCAGGAAGGGTAGGCTATCACAAAAGGGAAGGGCCTCTGGCTAAGAGACAGTTAAAAGTAATTTCTGGAAAGAAGGCAAACTTTTCGAAGGGTCATTAATGTGCTTGAGGAGGATCAATACCTGTTTGGTTGAATGAGGTAAGAGAAGTGTATTTGTATATCCTGCTTTCTTTCTCTCTCTCCATCTTTTGAATACTCTTCTTCTCCCCACCCTCCATACTGTGATTCATTTCTACTTTTAACCTCTATGCGTGTCTGTGATTAGATGATGTATGCAAAAAATCACTTTATTTTTTTTTTAAATTTATTTATATATTTTTTATGGCGACATCGGTTAACGAAATAAAAGATCACTTTAGATGGTAATATGATAGTTATGTTGTGGACATTAAAAATATACAATTTCAGGACAAGTGGAAAAGCACAGTAAGGCAGATTGCTGTTTTATACTTGGGAAGAAATTTCCAGTGATAGAATCCTTCATACTGAAAAGCATCTGTTACAGCTTGGATGGCAATAAAAATTATATATTCTGGAAAATCGCTCTAGGTAACTCAAAAATTTGCTCTAGATGCACAAATATATACTAATGTCAAAAATATGTGAATAGTTTGAATAAATTTTATGACATTTGCAAGTGGATTGAAGATAAAGCAGTGTTTCTACATTAATAGTGTTTGAGATGTGTTTTTTTATTGTATAGGTAGGTGGATTTTACATATAGACATTTCAAGTTCATCTGCTTAAAAGATTTATATTTGCAAGTTGAGCCAAAACTAGAATATTTATTTAATATTTATTACATTGGAATTGTCTTCACATCTAAGTAATGGAAAAATCTCATATCTAAATTTTTAGTGCACTGACTTATAGAATTTACAAATAGTTCCTTTGATTATTTAGCAGGTGACATCTAAAGGAACTGGTTTAAATCCTAATGCCAAAGTATGGCAAGAAATTCCTCCTGGAAATACTGATGCCACTCCAGTAACTCATGGAACTGAAAGCTCTTGGCATGAAACAGCAGCCACATCAGGGTCTCATCCTGAGGGTAAGTCCTAAATATTTCATCAGAACAAGTCACATTTTGATTAAACGTGGCCACACTGGTTCATAGATCTTTGGGGTACGTCCTTTGATTATTTGATTAAATATATTGATAAGTGTTTAACATGTAGTTTCTATACAATTCTCATATCTAATATTAATGAATTGTCATTTCAAATAATAGCTGTATCTTTGGGTCCAGCATTGAACCCATTTATAATACGGTATTTGTACATTAGTTTTGATCTACCATCATTGGCAATGCTCTTTACTCATTATTTTATCTTAGGCAAATGACTTAAATTCTCCATGCTTGTGTCCTTCATCTGTAAAACAATAATAATAGTAATAATAATTATTATTAGTTTGGGTTTAAGATTTTCTGAGAATTAAGTAAATAAAGTGCATGAAGCTGTCAGATAAATAGATAGTGCTATAAAAGTTTAAGCTATTGTTAATCATTTTAGCTTATCCATAATTGTCAAAACTTCCTCCCTTGGGAAGAGAATGCTTAACTTAAAACCTTATGTATATTTTCCCAACTGGTAGAATTCTCTGAAATTATGTTATTCAAGACATAGGTCCCAGAGTTCATAAAGACAGGATTTGTAGAATTCCTATTTATATTCAATATGTTTTCTTTTGTACAGGTAATACAGAGCTTTCAGATGATATATGTAAGGAATATGAAGTAATGTATTCATCTTGTGAAACCACAAGAAATTCTACAGGCATTGAAGAATCAACAGATGGAATGATTTTAGGGCCAGAAGATCTGAGTTACCAAATATATGACGTTTCTGGTAAACTTTATGGTTTTATTGGTAAAATGAGAGTGTGATATGCTCTTCTTTTTCCCTCTACAGTGTCTTTATCATTTTTCTAATAAACCTATGGCATTGATCAGTTTATTTTCTTATTTGAAATTTTATGTTAATGAAATGTTAGGTGATTATTATAAATACTGTTTTCAAATGACTAACCATGAAAATTATAATTTAAAAAATGTTTACTTTATTCTATCAAAGGAAAGTGTGAAATTAAAGACAAAAGGAAAAAATAGTCAAAATAGTTAAGAGACCTAAATTACAATCTTTCATAGGGTCCAAATTTCTTGGTCTATTAGTTGGGATCATTGCAAGTTTTATCAATTTTTTCTATCACTTGTGTCAGAGTGAAATGCATTTATAAATGTGAAATTGTGAGAATTGATTTTAAGGAAAAGGTTGTATTAAAAACGTGGTTCTACTATTCCACTTGTGAAACATGGTTTCCTCACATTCATTCAACTGGCATGGATTAGTAGTTGAATTTAAAATAGATGAAATTTGGAAGAAACTGAAAAGAGACCCAAACTACTTAACTTTATTTTTCTGATTTCCGAAGGGTCTCTTTGGAAAGTAAATGTAAAAGGGAGGGAGTAGGTATTTTTATTGCAGCTTAGTTTTGACTTCAGTCAGGGTATATATACCTTTGTGGTCAGTTTTCTTACTGGTCTGGGTATCAGCTTATAGGTTGATTTCTGAAGTGGAATGGGGTGATATTTCCATGTAATAATTTAAGGTGGTAGGATCTGCTTCCTACCTGTGGTCATAATATACCTTAGCTACTGGCTACTTTGAACACAGTTGGTATTCTGAGTTTTCTATAATGATATTGAAAGGTTAAATGAAGTTATTGCTTCTTCGGCTAGCATTTGGGTAGATGAATTTTGTGTTAGAAGGATTGCATATACATAGAAATAGAATACTTCCTATATTCATTTTAATGAAGTTAATTTAATATCTAATATCACTTCAAATCTTGAGTAATAAGACAAGGTAATAAAATTATGCACAAAATTTATTTATCTTTACATACATCCTATTGTCTGTATTTAAAGGAAATTATTAATCCTTTTTAAGAAGAAGACAAATTATATGATTTGAATCTATTGTTTCGTGTAAGAGTCTGATAAGAGTGATGGTTTTCTAAGCTTGAGTCTTGAAAAAAAGTCTTATGTTCTGGGCTTAAATAATAGAAAGCATAGAAGACTGTTATAGAGTTGAACTGATCACTTTGGACATCTGAGTGCTTTACATATTCCTAGGAAGATAATGGTGCTCTAAAATCAAGAACTGAAAAGAATATTAAGAGATAGAAGTTTTTTTTCTTACATTCTTTTATTTTTAATTTATTAATTTTAATTTGTTTCAAGTGTATAGTACATTGGTTAGACATCTATATAGTTCATAAAATGATCCTGCCAGTTGCTCCCTCCTTCCCCGACCCTCCACCTAGCCAACATATTAATGCTAACTGCATTCCCTATGCTGTGCTCCCTATCTCCATGACCATCCATTAGCTACTAATTTGTACAACTTTAACCCTTCACTCCATTCTCCCAACCCTCCAAAACCCCCTCCCCTCTGTCCATCACCAGATTGCCCGCTGTATTTGTGGGTCAATTTTTGATTAGTTTATTCTTTTTATTCCTTAGATTCCACATATAAGTGAATTCATATAGTGTTTATCTTTCTCTGTCTGACTTAGATACTTTCTAGGTCCATCAAAGCAATATCTTTTTCCATCCTTTTCCTTTTAGTCTGTGTGTGTCTTTTAATCTGAAGTGAGTCTCTTATAAGTAACATGTAGAAGTCTTGTTTTCCTTTCCATTCATCACCTCTTTTAGTTGGAGCACTTAATTCTTTTCCATTTGAGGTACTTATTGATAGGAATGTAGTTATTACCATTCTTTATTCTTGTTTTTGATACATGTTTTTTCTTAAAGAAGTCCCTCCAACATTTCCTGTAATATTGGCTTGGCGGTGATAAATTCCTTCAGCTTATTTCTGTCTGAGAAGCTCTTTATCTGTCCTTCAACTCTAAATGATAGCTTTACTAGATAAATTATTCTTGGTTGTAGATCCTGGGTCTTCATTCTGTTGGCCACACCAGAAACCAAGGCATGCTGCCTCCAGTGTGAGTCTAGGCACTGCTCAGCTGGGAGCATATGACTCAAAGAGGATATACCTGGATGTTGCTTGGGTGGGGCCATGAATTGGGGAAGGCAGGGTTTCAGGGAATCTTCTGGGTGGAGCGACCTCTGTTATCCAGTTTAATGACATCTGGGCTATGTCTGCGCTGTGTCTGTGTCCGCACACTGGGAGCAGGGAGGGCTCAACAGGGGACAGTGGATACTGCTGGCACTTCTGTACAGAGCGAATCTCGCTTGGCCCTCACTCCGACAATGTCTCCCTGTAAGTTTCTGGTGCCCGCTGCATGCAGCCGAATCAGCACTGGTACTCAGTGAGCAGGCCTGTCACCGGGAAAATCCGCTGCTGCTGCTGGCAGCCTCTGTCTCACTCAGCCACTCAGGAACAGGCAGCCCCACGTCCTTGCCCCATCCTGCCTTCTGCTGTTGCAAGGTGCTTTCTTGGATTTCTCCTTAGTTGTATGGCTTGTTCATCTAGATCCCAGGTGATTTTTCCTTGCTGCTGCTCCTTGTTTCCGTCACAACTTTGATTTGGTCTCCAGAGGGATGAACAGAGCCTCTATCAACGCCATTTTGGTTGCCCGCCAAGAGACCGAAGTTTAAGGAGTGTGACTGACATCATATTTACTACCAATAACACAGATGTGTCTATATATATTTTGTATTAGAAAGACTGCATATATTATAGAAGTAGAATCCTTATCGTCATTTTAATGAAGTTAATATCGAATATTAAATTAGATATATATTATATATATATTCCACCTTGTGTAGTTACTGTCTTCAAATTTAGATTACTATTACTTTTGTCCTTTGAGTTTTCATTAAAGTAATAAGTAGTTACCACATTTTTAAAGTATTTAGGGTAGTGTTTTACAGTATAGTAGCCAAGTACGTTTAGTATAAATGGTGCTTTGTTAATACTTGATAAAATAGTATTTAAACTGATGTGAAATTTATCCAAAGAATGAAGAATAGATAAGTTGGAAAAAGTTAAACTTTAAGCTATCTGAATTCTAAAAATAATTAAATATAGTTTTGTGATAGTTTAATTTATGCATACTTTGTGGCTTATTCTGAGTGCAACAATATGTAAAGTTTACCACTTATTTGGTATTAACTTTTCCCCTCTTGTTTGCTATCATCAGGAGAAAGCAATTCAGCAATTTCTGCAGAAGACCTAAAAGAATGTCTGAAGAAACAATTAGAATTCTGTTTCTCACGGTACACTATCATTTTTTTAATTGGTATTTCTGGTTTTTTGAATTTTTTGGTTAGTAAATGTAAAATATACCTGTGAAATAGAGTGGAAGAATGGTGGTTTTAATTTCCTTCAGTGACATATTTTGGTATCATTCTTCAGTATATTTCTTAACTAGATTTAAAGATGTATAGTTGGATATGCAAAGGATATATTCTCAGTAGAAAGTAGTGAAATTTCTTAGATACTTTCCTATGAACATATTCAGGTTTAGAGTTCTCAAAAGAGTGGTTGTCTCTTAATTTATATCTTTAGTAGTTGGCTGTTATAACCTTTGATCATAGCATTGTTTTTAGCAAAGTAGGTGGATGGCACTGAATTTACATAACCAGTGTCTTCTATTAAATAGGGAGTTCTTTCAGGCAGATGTTTCGGGGTGTCTTATTTACAGATAAGAATTATGTAGGTATATTTACACCTTAGACATCTTAAAGCTTCAATACATAGAACTACCCCTTCCAAAATAAACAGAAGTTTTGATATGCATGCAAATATAATGCCTGCTATTTTTCCTACATTTGGTAAGAAGTAGGATTAGTGAACCAATTTTTTCAAGCTAGAAACCTGGATTTTATCGTAGACTTTTTCATTTCTTTACACATAATACACCCTTGACTCAGGTTTAATTGATTCTTCACTTCTTCCTAAAAATCTCCCTTTTCTTCCCCCTCTTTTTTATTTTTTTGTTGTCTTAGTCTAGTACAGCCCTAGAACAAAATCTGGAGCCTTCTGGCTTGCTTTTCTCTAGTCATTTTCTGTAACATAACTTGTAATAGTTATTTTAAAATCTTTGTCTATTAACTGGATCATTTGTATGTCTGCTTATAGTCTGAATTTTTCTCTTGATTTTCTGTCATGATTTCCTGCCTTTTTGTATGTCTTACAAGTTTTGATTATGTGCTGGACATTACATATAAAAGTAGCTAGAAGCTGCAAGTGACATAATATTTCCCTCTAGAAAAGATTTAAACTTTCTTCTGATAGGCAGAAGCAGATTGATTGCTTCAGTTCAGTCAGGAGTTAATCTGGGTCAGGGCCAAGTAGCCATTTTAATTAGACTTGGTCCACCTGTAATTTATGTCTTTCCTTGGACATGACCTTCTCAGGCTTTTGATTTAGAAGTTGGCAGTTTTCAATTACCTCAGTCCCAAAACACCAAAGGAGATTTAGTTCTGTTCTTCAGAGATTTGAGGTTAGCTATTTAGCTTCGTACCCCATGAGCTTCAAAATCTGGCAAATGTCTTATGGGGGAGACCTGTCTTAAGTTTGATGCAAGTTTCCTCCTTCCACTAGAACTTCTACAAGAGATTTTATTCTGCCTTTTAAACCTGGCTCCCATTTCATCTTTTTCCTTAGAATTCAATAAACAGTTGTATGTTGAGGGTTCCTTTAGCTTCTACTTAATAATGCCAGTCTTGTGCAACTGCTAAAGGTTCTGCTAGTTTTTCTCTGGTCCAAGAAAGAAATCTTTCTGGAATTTTGTTTTGTCCTTGTAGCTTCCACAGCTCTCCTTTATCTTCAAAAACATGATTTTTGTAATTTATTCAGGCTTTTTTAGTTGTTGCAGTGGGAGCTCTTGTCATGACCTACTACATTCTCCTCAGAACTGTGATACAATTCAAACCAGCTGAGCAATTGACATTTGTAGCTCAGCAAAATTGCCATTAGTACATATCATATATTAGTTATGAATATTAAAATCCTAGATGTTACATCCATTAATTTGACTTACTTCTGTGAGGTACAGTTTCTTTAAGGGTTTGAAACACTGTTTTATAACAACAGACCTGCTAAAAGTCAGAGTTGATTTAGGATATTAGTTTTTAGTTATGCAAATAATATGTTTACAGCTGTCTTATTTTCAAGTTCTTAAAGAATATCTTATTGATTAGGGTGATATTAGTATGTTCTTCCTTTGACGCTGAAGTGAGCTTAACCTTTACTAGTATCTTCTCTATTCTCATTTTTTCTTCCCAAACAAATAAGCACCACCTGTTGACAACTGTAACCTTAAAAAAGTAATTAATACTCTATTTTAATATAATTTGAATGTAAAGACCTTTGACCCTTCTTTTTTGCTTGTCACTAGGGCTTTGAAACACATTTTTTAACATAGATCCTTCATGGAACCTGTATTCTGGGTCAGGGGAGGCAAAACATAAACATATTAAATAATCAACTTAGAAGTGAGTTAGGTGATAAGCACTATCACCTAAAAATAGGAAAAAAATAGAGCAGTGTAAGCAAGGGAAGGGGAATCTGGAGTGCTTTAAATTTCAGCATTAAATAAGGTGGTCATTGTGAATGTGGCTTTTAAGTAAAGATTTCTAGCTATTTATAACTAGGCTGCTTCAAAAATTTGATGTGACCAAGATGCATTTAATTTTACTTCAGTTTGTTAAACACAATTTTATGTGTAAGATAGAAGTATTTGTATCTTTTTAAAAAAAATGTATCTTAGAGAATCTTGTCTTAATTTTAAATGTTTTACATTTATTATTTAAATTTAAATAGTCAAACATATTTATTTTTTAAAATGCAAACATTCAGAAACTTAAAATCCTCCACGATCCAACTTATGTTTTAAACTGTATATTCTAACATCAGTGAAAGAATGTTTATAAGATGGAACTATACTATATATAATATTTTGTAACATTCTCTTGAATTTAATATTAAGCCTCATTCCATATCAGTATAATTCCATAAAATACTTTGTTTAAAACTATTGGGCCCAATGTATTTGGGGATTGAGAAACTTTCTGGAAGTTGATAAAGTATATCAGTTGTATATCATATATATTTTCATAGTTCACTGTATTATTTATGATAGCATAATTTTTTTCCCTTAGACTTGGTGACAGAAGTGAATAAGGTACCTCTTTAGGTGCTGTTAAAGAATTGTTTGTTTTATAGAACTGTTGCTTCTGTATTTTTTTCAGAGAAAATTTATCAAAGGATCTTTACCTTATATCTCAAATGGACAGTGATCAGTTCATCCCAATTTGGACCGTTGCCAACATGGAAGAAATAAAAAAGCTAACCACAGACCCCGATCTAATTCTTGAAGTGCTGAGATGTATGTAAATCATACCTTTTAGCTTATTTTTTGAAGTGAAAAAATTAAATATTCTTTCGATGTCTGATCATACAGGGAATTGTTTTAACTCCTTGTTTTTCACTGTTCTGTTTCAATAATTTGTCTTTTATTTTTACTAATATGTAGTATCTGTATTAGTTCTATACCTTGGTTATTCATCTTGATACCCACTTATGCATATAAGCAATTAAATCTCAAGCCATTTTTTCTTAACTGCTTGTTTTGTCTCCACTTGTCCTTTAAGGGAACTGTGGTGTATTCTTTCTGAAGAGACTAGAAATAAGTTTTGGCTATGTACTACTATCTTCATTCAATATTTCCTCAAAATCATCTAAAAGATGGCTTCTGAGTCTCTGTATAGTATGCAAGTAAATACATTAAAATCAAGGAAAAGATTATAATCATTTGTGCGTAATTCTTGGTTTAACTGCTTAGACTGTAATTTTAAGAAGAATTTCTTCACATATTAAAGCTCATTACATTCCCTAGAGTTTGGCTAATGCAAATACTCTGATTTTTGTTCTCTCAAAGTAAAGAATTTGGTAATTGTATACAGGGAAATTACCTTTTTAGGTAAGTGTTATATGCTCTCTGAAGGTTTTTTTTCAGCCTCCACATAGGGTCAAGTCACAAAGTAGATACTCTGAATGTTTGTTCAAAAAATATTTGTTTAAAGAAGAACAACTTGTCTATGGCCATGCCACCCTGAACACGCCCGATCTTGTCTAAGCAGGGTCGTGCCTGGTTAGTACTTAGATGGGAGACCACCTAGGAAGACCAGGTGCTATAGCTGTAAAAATAAATAAGTAAGTAAGTAAGTAAAATAAAGGATGACAACTTAATTTCTTTAGGATATTAGCCTCTGCTAATTTATTTAGTTGGAAATAGAAATGAGCAGTTTTTTAGTGGCATTAATATATCTGTATGTCACTTTTGAATAAAACCACTTTTTAAAATTTCAGCTTCTCCCATGGTACAAGTTGATGAGAAGGGCGAGAAAGTGAGACCAAGTCATAAGCGCTGTATTGTGATTCTTAGAGAGATTCCTGAAACAACACCAATAGAGGTAAAACTAAATATTCTTTACTTTTTAAACTGGAGAAGCTAAACAAGCAAAGTATGTCAATGCCCTCATCAGTTACTGTGAATAGAATAAGTACTAATTTGTTTTGTAAATTTTGAAATACTTGAAGAGTTGGACAGAGGAAGGAAGAAGATATAAGTATGTTCTTATAAGGATAGATTGAATATTGCACTGAGACTAACTTTCAATTTATTGATTTGACTGAATGGCAATTAAAATATAAATAGACTCTTTTGGGAACTTGAGGATTCTTCTGAAAGAAGAAATTTAGATAGGAATGAAGAAGAAAAATATGAATAAGGACTAATGGATAAAGACTAATGGTAAGCAAAATATAAAGCAAAGCTGCAGCTATAAAGATGATATGGTACAGGTACAAAAATAAAATAATATTTGAATGAAATAATATAATCCAGAAATAGGCCCTCTTCTACAATAATGTATGTATAATAACAGTTATTTAGTAATTAGAGTCTACGAAATATTACACAATGTACTTTAAGTGTAAGGTTTTATTATCTCTGGTTTACAAAGTTAACTCAGACTTAGGATGGTTACATAACTTGCCTAAGGACACATGGGTTGTTTCAATGACAGTTGGTTTGAAGTTGATCTCTGATTCTGAAGCCCATGTTTCTTAACCACTAAGCCACATAACTTGGCACTAAGTTGTTAACGTTAAGGCATAATATATTAGAGATGGGAAGGATTAATCAGTAACTGATATATAGTAATTGATTAACCATTAACATTTTTTGGACTCTTGCTGCCTAACACTTTTGACACATTGGTAATTAATCTTTTTGTCCAGATTCTTTTAGTATTATATCTCCAGAAGAAGTTTTCTTAAACTTAGAATAAGAGAAATTAGAAAAAAAAACTGTCACTAGATAGATCTTCGATATCAAATTACGAACTATATATCAAAGGTAACAAATTGAAAGGAAGATTTCAGGATGCTAAGAATATTTGCAATATTAAGAAACAACATAGAGTATATTAGCCTGAACCCTAGAACCAAACTTCCTGGATTTGAACAACTTTTTTACCTGCTAGTTCTTTGACCTTGGATAAGTTATTTAACCTTTTTTGCCTCAATTTTCTCATCTGTTAAATGGGATAATAGTAATATGTAACTCCTAAAATTGTTATGAGAATTAAGTGAGTTAGTATATGAAGAGCTTAGAGTAATACTTTGCATATGAAAAAAACACTCTAAGGTTAGCTATTATTATTTTTATAGTATTATAATTCATAGTCTGACTACATAAGGAGCGCACCCACATGAAAAACAGTAAGTGAAGGGAACAAGACATCAACATACTGTTCATTAAAAAAAAAAAAAGGAAGGGAAGTACAAATGACTAAAATAGAAAGTCTACCTAGGTAGTAATCATGAAAATTGGGTTGTGACCTTAAAGATTTCTCTTAGGTAGAATAAATTTTTGATTACTTTAGATCCAGACTTCTCTTATATTTGGGAAAGTAAATCTATAAACCTAATTCTTCCTAAAAAATGATAAAAGCTGAAAATAGGGATTTTATTAAGATTTTAAGAAATTCTTTATACGTTTGAAGGGAATTATAAATAATTAGAGAATATTTATGGATTTTTGAAAGTGGAGATCAGAGAGTGGCAGACAGTGTAACAGTTCCATAGATAGTTCAGAAATGTAATTCTGGACTAGATAGGAATTTTAAACTGAACTTGGCGGTATTTCACCACGTTCACAAATGTTACGAGACTCAGCTGATTGATCACTTATTTATTTCAAGTAGTAGTTGACTCAAAATTTCATCACAAGTAGAGACAATTTTTTAAAAAATTAAATGCATTAAACATTTGAGGGAGTTAGAATACAGGTTAGACTTCACTGTTGTCATGTCGATTGTCCAATCAGCTTAGTAATTTTCTTTTTTAAAACTGATACCTAGTGATATATTGTGGGACATTTAACAAAATCAGATTCTTTTGATATTTAGGAATTATTGGTTGCTACTAAATTTTTCCTTGAACTCAAATAGATATTTAACAAAATGGAATTTGGAGATACACAAATCTGGATTTGAGTTCCACTTTATAGTAGTATGGGTAGGGTAGACAATCCAAGCCATCATTTCCTCAACTATAAAATGGAGATGATAAAATCTTTGGCACAGGATTGTTTTCAGGAGTAAATCACAGTGTCTCACCTTGGATGGTATTTTAGCAGATATTGTTTCCTTTCCTTTTATGACTTTTTGGGAATATTTAATGTTCACTTTGAGTTTCTTTTTTTATAAATTTTGTTCAAGCTGTTAACTGTTATACACTTCTGAATTTTGGTAATCTTTTTCTAAATCCATATATTTCTTGGAATTTTAGTTATATCAGTTACGGAAAAGAGAAAATATCTTTGCACAGAGTTCATGTCTATGAATGATTCTGTTGTACAGCATCTGGATTGAATGAGAATGCATGAAAATACTTAGCACCTAGAAAATGTTAATGGAGGACATACTTTTTTTTGATAATGGCAAGACCGGAGAGATTTTACTATAAGGAAAATTTAGCTTGCCAACTAGGAGTGAAATGCTTCAGTTTTGCTGATTATAAAATAAGATTCTATCGCTAACTCATATGTAAAATTTATGCTATAACTGTACATGTTTTTGTTTCAGAGCATCATCTACTCCCAATAGAAAAATGGGCAGAAGGCATAAACAGTTAACAAGTAAATAAAAAAGGACAAAGAGACATGAAGAGAAAAAAAGAACTCATTATTGATATATTTTTTAGAATTAACTAAAGTTTTTCTTTTTTAGGAGGTGAAAGCTTTGTTCAAAAATGAAAACTGTCCCAAGGTGATAAGTTGTGAGTTTGCACACAACAGCAACTGGTATATAACTTTCCAGTCAGACACTGATGCACAAGAGGTAAGAAGAAAACTTTTCTGATTTTAAGCCCTAGTGATGAAAGTAGTAGTGGGATATTTTAATTGAGAAAATATATATACCTACAGTATGTTTGCAAAGATTGTTGAGCACCTTGTTTACCTTTTTGGTTTTGTTTATTAATTGGTTTCCTTTTTGATATCTTCCTAAAGCTTTTTCAGTTTCCCTTTAAGAACAATTTGTTTTCTATCAAAAAAAAAATTAACACAGTTTTAAAATTAACATGTGGATTGGGAATTATGTATTCAGTAGTTAATATTTATAGTACATACTAGGTCCACAATAAATATATACCTACCTTACTGATTCTTGGAATTTTGACATCATGATTTTACTCTTGTTACCAAGTCCTACTTAAATATAAGAAATATTCTTTTGAATCAAAAACATATCTAGTAGCATTTTAAAACCACTCAGTGATTTTTTAAAATTCTTCACCTTGGAAAACTGATTGAACCATTTTAAAATTGATACGTAGTGACATTTGGGACTGTTTTGAATTTTTTGTATTTTATCTGCAGTAATCCATAGAAGCTAATCTACAGTAAATGTGAACTGCAGCTGAGGTCTTAAGTTTTTACTTTCTCATTCTCTATCACCTGCATAATGGAATCACCTTCAGAATTTTTTATTGTATAGTTTAAACATAGTTGCTAATACTGAACTCTCTTGATAAAATAAAGATGTTTTTAATGAAATGTTTGAATACTAATAAAAGTTCCTTTCTGCTTTGTTAACAGGCTTTTAAATACTTGAGAGAGGAAGTTAAAACATTTCAGGGCAAGCCAATCATGGTAAGAAAAGAAACATTTGTAAGTAAGGCCATCATGAAACAAGAAAGTTTTTTGTTATTTGAAAATTTAAAAAGCACATGGATAATATTTTATAGAACCGGTAATGATTTTAAAGAAATTTCTGGCTCTTGATGTGTTCCTTCAGAAGATTAGTTGATGGTGTATCAGAATACTTTCTATACAGCAGTTCTTTCCAAAGGCACAACTTCAAACAGCATGAAGTTTTAGGCATTGAACAACATGTAAGATAATCCCAGATCTCAAAATGAGAAGTAGAAATATTTTTTAGTACTAAGATGGAAAACATTTGCAGTACTTTCAACCTCATCTCAGTTCACTGCATCATCACGTTAACATTTTAACCATTTGAGAAACCTGGGAATTGTCATTAATGACACTTGTTCACTGTCTTTATATGTCTAATCTGTCCTCAGATTCCATGAAATCTGCCTTCAAAACTTCTTTCACTCATTATTACCATTGTTTAGACTTGAACAACTGGATAGCCTTTTAACTCTTAGGTCTTCAGTTTTTTCTCTCTTACAGTCCATTCTCCACATTACTACAAGAGCTACCATCCAAAAATAGAATACTAAACATACACTTAATTTTGACATGTTCCTCATTCCCTATGTAGTATAATAATTAATATTTGTAAGTGCAGTACATTGTTCTTACTAACTCTTATTGAGCTCTTACTGTGTATCCATTTCTGTTATAAGCACTCTAAATGGGTAGAGTCATTTAATACTTACAAGAACCTAATAAGGTGTAGGTACTCTTATTTTCTGTTTTACTGATAACGAAAATGAGGCATGAGAATCAGCTACCCAGTTTCACACAACTAGTAAGTGAAAGAACCAGAATGAAAGAAGGTTCCATTATTTATTCAAAGGTTGTATGTCAGACACTGTTCTAAGTACTTGACATATTTCTCATTATTGCTGTGTGGTAGGTGGTATTTTTACTTTCAGTATTACAGATTAAGCTATCAGCCAGTTGTTTTATTTCCTCTGCCTATAATGCTGTTCTCCCTATTAACTCCTTTCCCTGCTTTCGGCTATGAAAACATTCTCTGGGTCTTCGAATAGCTTTAACGTTTGCTATGTTGGATTTAGGTCTTTGAAATGTCTGGAATTAATTTGGTTTAGTATAAGACAGAGATGTAATTTCATTTCCTCCCCATATTTGGAAAGGTAATTGTCTCAGTACTTATTTGTTGAACAGTCTGCCTGTCCACAAATTGCATGTAATGTTGCATCTGTCAGATCTGTTTTGGGTTCTTTATTCTATCAATCTC